CAAGCTCTCAAGCCTATTTATCATTCATGGGCCCTGCCCTTCTAATGTGAACCTAAGTTCCACTTAAGTTCAGATTATGCATTTATGGCCTTTCGCCGAAATTATATTCAAACAAAGACTAGTCGAGGTGTTCGACCTTATTTTCTCTGTTAATCTAACTAAAGCGGACTTAGTTCCATTTTGAGTTTAACTCTGCCGACATGGCAAGTCTAGGTTAATTCAACTCTATTATATGCAAGTATAATTCAACTCTACCATATAATAAGTCTAAGTTATTCGTCATGTTTCATTCAGAAATGTCGCCAACTTAGTTCAACTTTATTATATGCAAGTATAATTCAACTCTGCCATATAATAAGTCTAAGTTACTTGTCATGTTTTAATCAGAAATATCGCCAACTTAGTTCAACTGTATTATATGCAAATATAAATCAACTCTGCCATATAATAAGTTAAGTTACTCGTCATGTTTCAATCAGAAACATCGACAACTTAGTTCAACTCTATTATATGCAAGTATAATTTAACTCTGCCATATAATAAGTTTAAGTTATTTGTCATGTTTCATTCGAAAACATCGTCATAGGACTGGTCAGCCCTATCGCACAAATTTCAAATTCATAAAAATCAAACTAGTACTTTATTATTACTTTGGCTAATAAAATCATGACATAATCTTCAAAAAACAAAAGATTAATGATAAAAAAAAATTCAACTTGCAAATGTTCCAAGGTTTTGGCAACTCCTTGCCATTAGTGTCTTCAAGCCGACATGCCCCTTTGCCGGCAACCGAGATAATTTTATAAGGCCCCTTCTAGTTTGGGCCAAGTTTTCCCTCCATGGGATTCTTCTTGTTGCTGACAACTTTCCTCAGGACAAAGTCCCTAACCTTGAACTCTCTTGGATTGACCTTCTTGTTGTAAGCCCTAACAAGTTGTTGCTAGTATGCTCCCAGCCGAATTGTTGCTTTCTCCCTTCTTTCTTACAATAGATCCAGATCTCAGGTTAAGAATGTCACATTGGTCCTAACTTCCACTCCCTGGGTTTTGATTCCAGGAATGCTGACTTCTAGTGGGATAACTACTTCAGTGCCATAAGCTATGGCAAAGGAGACTCCCCGGTTGATCTTCTTGACGTAGTCCGATATGCCCAGAGCACATTAGGCAACTCTTTTACCCATTTCCCTTTTGCTGCTTCCAGCCTCTTCTTGATCCCAGCCAAGATAGTCTTATTGGATGCTTCTGCCTGACCATTGCTCTAAGAAAAACTTGGAGTGAAGTAGTAGTTCTTAATTTTGTACTTTGCACAGAAGCTTTTAATTAGCTTACTATCAAACAGTGTACCATTATCTGCTATTATTGCCCTTGGGATCCCAAACCTGGTGATGATGTTCTTTCATATGAAGTTCTTCACATCAATATCTCGAATCTTTGTAAAGGGTTCAGTTTCTACCTACTTCGTGAAGTAATCAGTTGCTACCAGCAGAAATTTCCTTTGCCCAGTTGCTTGGGGCGGTTCTCTAACAAGATTCATGCCCCATTAGGCAAATGGCCAAGGGCTAGATACTGGGTTAAAATCTGCTGCTGGTTGATGTATTAAAGATGCGAACTTTTGATACTTCTCACACTTTTTGATGTAGGCTTCAGCATCCTTCTGTATATAGGGCCACAGTACCCCTGAGTGATGGCCCTATGAGCAAGTGACCTGCCCCCAGCATGGCTTCCACTTACACCTTCATAAATTTCATACAAGAAGTCCTCAACCTGGGAGGGATGCACACATCTCAAAACGGGACCGGTAAAGAACCTTCTATAGAGATGGCCTTCTGCTGTTAAGCTAAACCTAGTCGACCTCAATCTTGTCATGTGCGCCTCTTTTCGGTCATCTGGCAGCTTGCCATTCCTGAGGAACATTACTATTACAGCCATCCAGCTTGGTTCTATCTCCATACACATTGCTTCATACTCTGTGATCTGGGGCTACACACTTGGGCCTGACAAATAATCAACCATTATGGTCCCTGCCTCACCTGATTTCATTGCACTAGCCAGGTTTGCCAAGGCTTCAACGTGACTGTTGTCATCTCGACTAACTTGCTGTAGTTGGCAATCTTGGAACAAGGAAAGCAATCTGACAACCTCTTTAACATAGGCTATCATTCGTTCATCTCTAGTTGCATACTCGCATGTTTACCTAATTCACAATAAGTTAGGAGTCACAGAAGATTACCACCTCATCAGCCTCCATTGCTGCTGCCAACTTCAACCCTACAATCCGTGCTTCATATTCTACTTCATTGTTTGAGGCCTTGAATCCTAAACGAGTAGACTGCTCTAACATTCGCCTATCTGGCGACACTAACACTACTTATGCCCCTGCTCCTTGATGATTTGAACTTCCATCAATAAACAGGCGGAAGGAGTCGCTGATGTAGATGTTACAGTTGGGTTCTTGGGCCCTAGTTGAGTTTCTTTCTGCTTCTCTAGGAATCCCAAGCCGCGGCTAATCGGAATCCGACGCGGGATGGCACCAGGGGTGAACTCAGCCACAAAGTTGGCTAGAACTTAGCCCTTAATTGCTATTCTAGGCCTGAACTCTAAGTTGTATTGGCCTAGCACTACAGCCTATCTAGCTATTCTCTCTATTAGACCTCCATGCTGCAACAGGGACTTCAAGGGATGCTCAGTCAACACCACAATCTTGTGGGCTTGGAAATAATGATTCAACTTTTTGGAAGCCATCACTAAGGCTAGTGTCAATTTTTCCAGGAACAGGTACCTGGTTTCTACTCCGACTAAGGTTTTACTTACGTAGTATACCGTCTTTTGTTCTCCCTCATCTTCTCAGATTACTACTACACTCACTGCGTGTTCTGAAACTGCCAAGTATAGGAGCATTTCTTCTCTAGGTACTGGATTTAAAAGAACTAGAGTTGTTGTCAGGTACTTTTTCAAGTTAGCCAAGGTGACTTCGCACTCTTCTGTCCACAAAAAATCTGTGGCCTTCTTTAATAGACTAAAAAATGATTTACACTTATCAGAACTTCAGCTGATAAACCTATTCAGGATTGCCGCCTTGCCGGTTAAAATTTGGACCTGCTTGGCTGACGTTGGGCTCTTTAAGTCAAGAATGGCCTTAATTTGATCTGGGCTTGCCTCAATGCCCCTTCTGGTGACCAAGTATCCCAAAAACTTACCAGACCCAACTCCAAATGTGCATTTCGAAGCATTGAGTCGGAGCCGATATGTTTTCAGGATATCAAAAACTGCCTTCAAGTTGGCCAGATGACTCCCAGGTTCTTTGGTCTTCACGATCATGTCATCAATATACACTTCTACTGTTTTACCAATCAGATATGTGAACATCTTGGTCACCAATCTCTGGTAGGTTGTTCCTGCATTTTTTAACCCAAAAGGCATCACTCTGTAGCAGTACAACACATTTGGGGTGATAAATGCAGTCTTCTCCTTGTCAAGGGGATACATTGCTATCTAGTGGTATCCCCTATAAACATCCAGGAAGCTCATCCTCCCATGCCCTGAAGTAGCACCCACCAACTAATCAATTTTAGGCAGAGGGAAGCTGTCTTTAGGATAAACCTTATTCAGGCTAGTGAGGTCCACGCAGACCCTCCACTTCTCATTATTCTTTTTCGCAACTACTCTGTTGGACAGCCAGGTTGGGTAGTTCACCTCCCGAGTAGCTTTGGCTTCTAATAGCTTGTCCACTTCCTCTTCTACTACCTCCACATGAATCAACGTCGGCCTTCTTGCTTACTGAATGATAGGTTTAGCCGACCTGTCTACATTGAGCATATGACATGTGACCTCAGGGTCAATACTTGGCATCTTAGATGGTGTTCAGGAAAATACTTCCATGTTGGCCCGTAAGAAAGCCTCTAACTCCTTTTCTGCATCCTCGACCAAGCCTGAACCGAGAAGAAAGAAGCGCTCTTCATCCTCTTCCTGGACCAAAATTTTCTTCAATGTTTCATTGCTCTTCTCGGCCGGTTCTTTGCCGACATCATCTAGAACTTCCATGTCCTCGTCCTCAATTTCCATTTTTTCTACATCTCGCACATTGTAGTTGGATTTCATTACTGCCATGGAGTAATTCTTTGCATGCATTTGATCCCCTCTAACTTTCTTAATCCCCTGTTCAATTGGAAATCATAACAATTGGTGCAGCATTGAGGAAACAACCCTCATTGCGTGCAGCCACGGTCTTCCCAATATAGCATTATAAGGAGAGGGAGTATCAATTACCATAAATTTTGTGCTTACCGTCCCGGTGCCTGCCTGCACCTCTAGATTTATTGCCTTTGGGGGCTATGTCGGCGTTCCATTGAGCCCAACCATTAGGCTGTTGGACTACTCCAAATCATCTCGGTGAAGGCTAAGCTCCTTGTAACATTTGACATATATGATGTTACAAGAGTTGTCTTGGTCGATCAGAATATGCCTTACCGGGTATTCTCCAACCTTGAGGGTCACTACCAGAGCATCGTTGTGTGGATGCTGCACCATGTCTAGGTCTGCCTCAGTAAAGGACACCATCAGTCCCTAGTACTCCTTTATCCTAGACCTATTTTACTGGACCTGATATGCATGTTGTAAGTGTCTCATCTTTTGTGTTTCTCCTTGCACATCATTCTCATTAACCTTCGAGTGAATCACATTGATCACTCGAGGTTCTGCTTGCTATAGTTGTGGCGGTGGTGGTGCCGTTGGTACCGGGGGAAGTCTTGTATGCTTTTTTCTCATCCTGGCCTCATCTACTAGATCCCTCAAGTGACCCTATCTGACCAGGTCTTCCAAGTGCCTCTTTAGAGCTCTGTACCCCTGAGTTAGGTGTCCTTCCTTATTATGGTAGGCACAGTACTTCCCAAGGCTCATTCCCATGAACTCGCCATGGACCTTCTCCGGCACTTTATAATACGGCTAGTTCTTGATATTTTCTAGAACTTTGTAAACCGGGATTCGGAACACAGTGGTGACTGCCTATGCAGCCCTCAGCCCTATTTTCTGCCTGTTAAAACCAGTATTACCTCGATCTCGCTTCGGCGAGCTGTTTCTCTTCTCTTGTTGCGGCGCATTCGTTCCTAGCGTGTCCTCTTCTGCTCTGACATATTTCTCGATCCGTGCCATGAGCTCCTCCATACTATTTGGTAGAGTTTTTGCCAGCGACATTCGAAATGAGCATTCATCATCTAGGCCGTTCTTAAAAGACACGACCGCCAATTCCTGGTTGTATCCCGGTATTCGGTTGAACACATCATAATACCTTTTAGCACAAGCCTTGAGGCCTTCACCCTTGCTTATTTTCAGAGCCATCAAGTAGTCTACCCTTAGTGGTTGCAACTTGTTTGTAACAAACCTTGCCACAAACATCCCGGTTAGGCCTTCCAAGCTCTTCACAGTTCCTTTCGGCAACTGGTGAAACCAATCCGATACGATTTCCCCAAATGATAAGGGGAACACCTTGCACAGCAACAGTTTGTTCCCCGTATACAAAGCCATTGAATTCAGGTATAATCTGACGTGAAAGTTCGGATTGGGTTTACCGTCATAAATCTGGAACCTCAGCATATGGAACCTTTTTGAGGCCTTAAACCTATCCAACTCTACTGAGAACGGTGTTATTGGTTTGACTGGGGATATGACCTCGCTAATCAATGCTTCATCTGGAGGCAATCCCTTAAGTCCTCCTTAATCCGACTAGGAGCTCGACTGTCAACAGATTTTAATCTTTTTGGTGCACTATTCCCGGTGTCATTAGGTGTCCTCTTGGACTTCTCTTCATTCACCTAGGGGTGTAATTTTGGCCTGCGGCCTGTGGGCGGCCTGAAGTGGGCCCAGCCGGTTAAGGCCCGAGCCTAAGCCCAGCCCGAGGCCTTGGGCCAAGTCTTGGGCCATCGTTTTGAAGCCAAACCTGGCCCGTGGCCCATCCATGGGCCCACTCAAGACTCGTCCAAGAGCCCGACCCACCCGAGGCCTAGTGTTATTTTTAATGGAAAATAATAAAATTTTGGTAGAAAAAATTTTAAAAAATAAAAAAATTTGTTTAGGCGCGCCCAAGTCCGCCCAAAGCCCGAGCCCAAGCCCAGGGGCTTGGCCCGAGGCCTGGCCCACTGGCCCGCCCATACCCCGAATTACCCTGGGCCTAGTTTTTTAGCCCATGGGCTGGCTCGGCCCGATTTTTTTGGAGGAGCCCGCAAGGCCCGACATGGGCCCGGCTCGGCCCAACCCGACCCCGGATGGGCTGGGCCAAAATTACACGCTTACATTCACCGTGTCAAAACATAGGCCATTCCCTTGGATATTCCGGGGTTCTTGACATATGTTCATCTAGTATGAGGTGTCCTATGCTAGTCACCTTTGACCGACTCTCCTCGTCCAACATCTCGTGAAGGCCGATGTGAGGGCTCTTTTTCCTTGCCATGCTGCGGGACTATTGGGATTGTTTTCTATCCCTCTTTTTGTTCATCAGTCTTGGCTCCTGGCATTGTCGTGTCCTGCAACAGAAACGGTAGTTGCATGATGTTGTTCTGCCGCCATTCCCTTCATCTTGCCGTCCTTTCTCAGGTATTTATCCTTCCATACCTGAAGGTCGCTCTCATTGTAATACTTATCTCGGCCTGTTTTCTTCGGAGTGTTACCCTCCTTGTCGACGTCCTTTTGTACAAGATTCGGATCTTGTACTCTTTCATCACGGTTTTCCACTTCTGCGTTAGGGTCTATATGTTCACTACTCTCAGTGTGGATGTCATCTCTAATCTTTTCTTTCTGCTCGTCGTTGGCCATCTATTCTCCTTACGTTTCCACAGATGGCGCCAAATTATGGGTATTGATTTTTGACCACACAACCAAACAGGGAACTCAGCTAGAGAGCACCGGCAGAATAGATTAAGCCCAACAACCTGTAATAAAAAGATGAGAATCTGGCGGTGGTTCGTCCACCCGGGGGCACTCCGACGATCAAGTTAGTAATCAGTATCTCTCAAAGATAGCAAATTGTGCTTAAACTCACAGGAAAGAACTTACTGCTCACAGTCTATCACCCATACCTGAGACCCACGGGAGTGCCTTGCTTTTATAGCCAGAACTGACCTGATCCTTGTAGAAGCCTCACTTCAATGGACTCAAGCTCAATGCTCATCCTGGACTCTCAACTAGATAGGGATAAACTCCCTAAGAGTTTTATCTTAATCCAGACTGAGATCTTCCCCTGTTCTAAGACTCTTGTCCCTTATCCGCTTATATCGAACTCTGGTATCATTGTAGATAACCTCGGCCTAGCCGAGATCACCTCGGCATCAAGACCAGGCCACGTGGCACCTCAACTGATACTTCAGCATCACGTTGGCCACGTCCTGTCATTCACAAAATATATCCCCGCAATATCTTATTCATAAATTTATTTACTAAGTGAATAATTTGAAATACGAAGGAAACATTGTCAAATAATGACTTAAGATTATTGAATAATTATCCCTAAATTATAGGCCCATACAATATGTTAATTAATTTTAATATTTTTTGAAGACAATCTAAAGTGATATCATGAACATAATTTTTTGTTAAATTCATATTATGAGATGTGTACCATATGCAAATTGTTATCACAAATGTACCATCTCCTTTTAAATATTTTCTTCGTTAAAATTTTCGAGTTTGAACAGAGGAGAGTGAAAATCGGAGAAGGGTTTTGGAGGATTAGGAGAGAGAGAGAGATTGAAATGAGTTGAAGATATGTGGGTTTATAGGAAAGCGGTGATTTAAAAGGTTTCATTGACATCCACTTTCATGTTTTTTCACACCAATTTCTTGTTTTCATCATACTTATTTAATAAATTTAAATTTTATATTTTCATCTCTTTTACACTTTTATAATTTAAAAAATGCAAAACAAGTATATGTGGATCTTTCTTCAAACACTAATGATCTGCCAAAATGGATTTTATTGAAATCAACCCCAAAACAAGTATCATCCATTGGAATTAAACTCAGAACAAGTACATGTGAATTCTTCTTTAAACACCGATCATCATTGTCCAGGGAAGGATTCATAGGCATTTGTTGTGTGGTTGATTCAATTGGATTCCATTCTGGCATATCGTAATTTCAAACATGCTATCATATTTAGCTTATTGTTTTCTCTTTATATATACTTACTATTTTCTTGTTTTCTTTTATTACCATAGCTATCTCTTTTCTTTCTTTCATCGTATCTACAAAGATGGCTAATAACTAAGTGGCAAAGGAAATAATGATAATGATGAGAGGTAATAAATTAAGGGTTTTAAAATTTAGAGGGTGATGGGGATCGAAGGGTATTTGGGAAGTGAAAAAATGAGGACGGGATGACAGACCTAACTCACATCATAACTTATTTAAATAATAATAATTAAAAATAAATAGAAACTATGGATACATTAAATTAAAAAAAAAATAGAAACTCACAACTCTATCTTAAATAAATTGAAAAATAAAAATAAAATAGAAACCATACAAAAATAAAGAAGATAAGAATTTAGATATGAATCTCAAAAAGATATATGACAATATCTAAATTTGAATTGTGATTTAGTAATATAACTACTTATTTTTTTGACATATATCTATCAAAATTTTAAATTACTTAATGGGACAAATTAATCAATTTTTAAGTCTTATTTAAAGAATAATTTGATTAGTCATCCCAACTCCTAGACTTCGCGGGCACCAGAGGAGGAGCTGATGGATTGAGCTGAGCGAAGTTTAAGTTGTTGGAGGTAACATCCTATCACTCCATAAATTTATTTGTTTTTTAATTTAATTTTTTTTCCTGTGTAATTCTCTTTTTCTACTGTTGGTTTTAGTTTTAGTTTTGGATTTGGTTTCTGTTTTAGTGAGGTTTATGTGTTTGTTTACAGATTTGCATGGTGGAGAAGAATTATTGATGTTGCAATCGAAGTGTCTACACCCGTTCTGTGCCAAAGATTTTGATCGGATTTTGTTTTCTTCAATAAAGACCATAAAATTGAAGTTAAAAAATGGATATCAATTTTTTTATTTTTTATTGTCGTTTTATTTTATAGAAAATATGAAAATTTATTGGGAATTCAAGATTTTTATTATAATATTAGATTTTTGTATAACTGGGTAAATTTGAAACTTTTAAATATCATTGTGTTCTTTATTTTTATTCTCTTTCTATCCCATTGTACCATTACTGCTATTTGTTAGTTTGTTAATTGTAATTCAATTAGTTGAAAATGAAAGCTTAGTATAATTTTATAGTTGTATATGATAGCATAATATATAGGGATAATCTCTAAATATAATTTTTTTTTTATGTGATTAAAATAATCCATCTTAAATAGTATATAGAGGAGTTACATGACTTCTTTTATCCCTAAAAAAACCAACTTATTTTTTTTACTTTTTAATTTTTTAAATTGAAATATTAGTTGTATGTTTATAAAACAAAACTGATAAACACATATTAAAAAACTACATATTTCTTTTTTTTCATTTTTTTTAGTAGGTAGGATACTTATAAATAGAAAATGTTTGACATTTCAAATTTTTTTTTTATAGTCTGACCTATAATGATGTAATCATAAGTGTCAATTTTTTAATTTACAAGGTTCGTGCATATCACGGCCGCTAGTAGTGTTAAATGAGAGAAAAGTATTCCCTTCTTTTTGGAGGGGTATAAAGGGCAAGTTCTACTATTAGTAAATTATGCATTATTATTGTACCAAACTAATAACCAGAATTGTTCCCAAAAAAAAAAAAAAAAAAACTAATAACCAGAAACTGCCTAACAAATTGTGTTTCCTTTTCTAAGCAAGGAAACTTCATTTGTGGAATTATATGAGAGATGCAAAATTGGAAGAAGATATTCCATGTAACAGGTGTACCATTCTGGAGCCCTTTTCCTTTTCACAAACATGTGTAACATGTGGAACCTATACATATGTTTGTTAGCGGGAGGGTTGCAGTAATGTGGGTGTGTTACATTTCTGATATGATATTTTTTTTTTGGAAAATGCCTCCGACTCCCACTGGGGGTGCTGGGGTCGTGCATGTAGGTTCCTGATTGGGCAAAAAAAAAAATATTATTATTATTATTATTATTTTTTTCAGCCAATGAGACCGCGTCACGTCACTAGGGTCTGTAGCATTATTCTTTTTGTTTAATCCAAAATTAGAAGCTAGGACAGTCTTTTGTGGTGTGAAGGGGAGTGGGAAATTGTATTTCAGTAGAATAGTGGCAAAAAGTTTACATTTTTATAATTGCGTATGATGCAAATTTATTTATGTTTTTGGTTTCAACTCCTCACGTGTGTTATAGTTATACCCAAAAAAAAAAAAATATCATTTATAATATAATTATTTTACGATTGTCCTATCTATTTATAATTTTTCTTGTTTTTTTTTACCCTTATCAACCCCATTTTTTTATTTATTTTTCCTTTGATACCTACCATAATTATATGAACAAGACTATGGTATACATCCCTATCTTATAATTACAGAAGAAAATAATATAATTTCATATTTTCTGAGTCATAACTAAAAAAAATAAAAATTAAAAAATTATAATCAAACACAAAAAAGTTACAACCAAAATCTCAAAATAATGTTATAATTAAATAATAAAATTAGTCATAACTAACAAAAAATTTCTAAATTTTTAATTTTTATCAATTTAAACTATAATATTTTAATTTATTTTCAATCTAAATTAGTTGTCTATTTTTGTTAAGTAAAATTAACAGGAAAACTAAAATACCATTTTCCCATCATTTTTAATTAATGAAAATAAACAGATAATTTAGACTGAAAACAAATAAAAAATTTAAAATTTAAATTGACAAAATTAAAAACTCATAATTTATTTTGTCATAAAGGTAAAATTTTTAATTTTTTTTTAAATATAATTTTTCTTAAATTATTATATTTATTTAATTGATTACTAGAATTTAGTGAAAGAGACCTGAGTAGTGTGAGTTGCATAGTTTTCATACTTTCTAGAGATGTGGATAGAGTTAGTCATAAGTCTTTTGAATAAAAACAATGTTTATTAATAAATAAAACATGTTTGAATATTTCTATATTGACTTCTTATGATGTTAATAGAGGTATTATTCACATAGTTAACCAAGAGGAGGTCTTCCTCTCAAAGTGGGTCCTCTCTCTATATCTTACTTTACTTTTCTACTTCTTTTAAAAAAATGACCGTATCATAACACATGCTCCACCACGATTTTGGACTCAAAATGTTCAAATTTCTTTAACTTTGGTATTCTTTGTTTTCCATATATGTCTGAAGGGGTTAGGAGAAAACTTCTTCAGATATGAATTGATTTTAGTAGCAATTAAGCAAGCCAACATCACTTTGGCCCTGTTTGGTAGGATTTATTTTCAATTTATTTCAACTTTTAACTTAATTTAAGCTATTTTGATGTGTTTAGTTCAGCTTAACAATACAGCTTATGATTTTTTGTAAGTCAAAAATTAACTTATTCTTTGAGTGGGGGGAAGAAACTTAATTTATAAGTCAAAAATCAACTTATGTTCACAGCTATAAGCTGTTAGGCTATAAGTTATAATCACTTTCCCACAAACTCTACCAAACGGGCCTTTGTAAGAGAGCATATCATCTATTAGGCTAATTTTTGGCCTTGACTAAGGCTGTGTTTGGTTAGAGGCACTACAAGAAAAGTGGACTTATGAGATAGAACTTTTTGCGATGGTACATTTGCCGTCGCAAAAAATGACTTTTTGCGACGGCACAATTTGCCGTCTCAAAAAATGTGACTTTTTAAGACGGCACAACTTGTTGTCGCAAAAAATGTGACTTTTTGCGACAACAGAAATTGCTGTCGCAAAAAAAAAAAAAAGAAAAAAAAGAGTATTTGCGACGGTACCAGCTGCGGCTGCAAAAAAAAAAAAAAGACGAGTTTTTTTGCGATTGTAATACGTACCGTCATGGTTTTAAAAATAGGACCAGACCGGCCGGTTCGACCGGTTGAACCGTCGACCGGTCGGGGTTCCGATCCGGATATACTCTCTGAACCGGTCGAAGCCAAAAACTTGTGTATTTAAAGAGACCCGGGAAAACCGACGGTCGAATCGCCGAGCAGGTTGACCCAACGTCGGTTCACCGGGTTATTTAGATTGAAAGTTTTGAACTGTTTTGGATATTTTGCATTTTTAAAAATTTTTATTTCTTTCTTTTCTTTCTTTCTTATTTTATATATATATATAAAAGAAAACTTTAATTGAAAACTTTTTTTCAATGGTCTCCTCTTGTGAGGAATCCCATTAAGAGCTTGAAATTATTGTGAGAGTCTCTACCTATTTATAAGAAAAAAAATCTTCCAAAAAAACTCAAAAAATCCATGTGGGATTCAATCAAATTTATTGGAGGGAGAATTGAAATTTTGATATCCCTCCAAAATTTTAGTTCTTCTTTCAATTAAATTATTTGAATTAAAATCATATGGAGAGAATATTGAATATTTGATTTTCTCTTCTAAAATTAAAATTAATAATATTTTAAAAAATATCTTTATATTTTTTAGTAAAAAAGGTATTAGGAGAAATATTTAAGATTATTAAAATTTTTAATTTATAATTTTATTACTTATATTTTTATTTAAATATAATTTTAATATATTTATGACGTCGCGATGGTAGAAATTGCTGTCACAAAAGAAAAGAATATTTGCGATGCCAGATATTGTTGTCGCAAAAGAAAATAGAGTTTTTGCGACGGTACCAGTTGCAGTCGCAAAAAAAAAAAATTGCGATTTTAATACGTACCGTTGCAAAAAATTTAAAAAAAAAATTAAAAAAAAAAAATATATATATATATATATATTGTGGCTTTAAGACGGCTTCATATATATGTAGTCATAAAATGGTTTAAATAAATGCAACGGTATTTTTCTGTTACAAAAAATAAATAAATAAATAAAAACGATATCGTCTTACTCTTTTGAACATTTCTCTTTTCACCAATTTTTTCATTTTTCTATCTCTATGTCTCTGTCCCTCTTCTCTTTCTCTCTTTCACTCATACTACTTTTCTCTGTCTGTCTGTCTGTTTCTTTCTCTATGTGTCTGTCTCTGTTATATCTCTCTCTGTCACTCATCACTCTTCTTTGTCTGTCTATCTCTTTCTTCTCTCTATGTCTCTGTCTCTCTTCTCTTTCTCTCTCTCACTCATCACTCATCACACATCACTCTTGTCTGTCTGTCTGTCTGTCTGTCTCTCTGTCTCTTGTCCATATTTCTTCTCTTTATCTCTCTCATCTCTCTTCTCTCTCTCTCTGTCTCTCTTCTCTTTATCTCTCTCGCTCATCTCTCTTGTCTCTCTTTTGTTTATTTCTTTTCGCTCTTTCTCTTTCTCTCTCTCTCTCTGTCTATATCTTTTTATCCATTTTTTCATCTTCCTTTCTCTCTTCTCTTTCTTTCTCTCAATCATCACTCTTTTCTGTCTGTCTATCTATCTATCTCTCACTCTCTCTGTGTGTCTTTCACTCATCTATCTCTTCTCTCATCTCTTTTCTCTCTCTGTCTCTTTCTCTCTCGCTCATCTCTCTTCTCTCTATCTCTCTTATCTCTCATCTTTCTCTGTCTCTCTCGCTCATCTCTCTTCTCTCTATCTTTCTCTCTGTCTCTCTCGCTCATCTCTCTTCTCTTTATGTCTCTCTCGCTTATCTCTCTTCTCTTTATGTCTCTCTCGCTCATCTCTCTTCTTTCTATCTCTCTCTATCTCTCTCGTCCATCTCTCTTCTTTCTATGTCTCTTTTCTGTCTCTCACTCTCACTCTCACTCTCTTTTTTTTTTTTCTCTCTCTCTTACACTATATTTGCGTTGCTCACTCTCTCACTCATGTCTTCTCTATTTACTGAGCTCCCTTTCGATTTATCGATCCACTACAAGAAAATGCACTTTTAGCGACCACTTTGTCTTTCTCTCGCTCATCACTTTGTCTTTCTCTCTCTCTCTTTCTTCTCTATCTGTCTCTCACTCATTTCTCTCTCTCACCACCCATCTCCTCTACCACCTTCACCACTACTGCAAACACTATTCCACCACCACCACTACTTCCATTGTCGCCACTTCATCTCTACGACTACCATTACTACTACCATTGCCACCACTCCACTACCACTACTGCCACTACTATTACCATTACCTCTCCTTCACCCCTGCCACTCCATTTACACTACCATTACCACAACTTCACAACTAATCTCTTTCGCCATCACCATCACCATCACTATCATCTCTTATCCACCACATTTACCACTACTGTCGCTTCCTTTCCTCTACCACAAAAAATTAGTTCATGATTTTTAGTAACAAAAAAAAATAACCCGCAGAAAAATATTTTTTATTGACTACAGAAAATTAACTTTTATTTTAGTGAAAAATATTTTTTATTAAAATATTAGCCCTACTTCTACCAAATAAAAAATAATAATATTTTTTTTCATTAAAATAAAAATGAAACAAAAAAATTTTCAATCTTAATAACTAAAAAAATTTTTTTTTAAAAAATGCATTAACTATAAAAAAAATATATATTTTAATAAAAAATAAAATTTTTTAACGATAATAACCCCTATTGTAAAAAAAAAAAAATTAAACGATATTATTTTATTATTTAAATTTCATTTCTGACTAAAAAAAATTTAACCCCTCCCTCCAAAATCCCCAATCTCAAACCCAAAAATCCCTAATCTCTTCTTACCCCGCTCTCTCGAGATCGATCGATCGATCGACGGTGAGCGGCGGAGGAGCAGCGTCGGAGCAGCATCGTCGTCGTCGTCGTCGGAGCAGCGTCGGCCTCCTCTTCCGTTTGTTGTTTTCGTTTGTTGTTTTCTTCAACATCAAGATGTGGTGAATGGAGTTTTGAGCTGCTTTAGGTCATTGATCATTGATCCCACAACATGTCTGAGATCGTCAAAAAAGGTTGGAACAAGTACCTGCTTCAACTTCAACTCAACCCTCTCAGAACCAAGGTCTGTCTTTCTCACATACCCATAATAATATATATAATTTCAATCGATCTTTTTATTGTTAGATGTGATTTATTTGGTGATTTTTTGAATTGGGTAGGCAATTACTTCTGGGGTTTTGATTGGAAGTAGTGATATAATAGCTCAGAAGATCACTGGAGTGAAAAAACTTCAATTCAGAATAGTACTCCTTTTAATGGTATTGTTTGACTTTTGCTGATCATGTGTAATTTTCTTGCTATTTATTGATTTGGGTTTTGTTTAAAATGTTTTGATGAGTAAATTAGTGATGGTGGTTTCTGGGTTTTTGAAATTTTTGGGAAATTGATTTGCAGCTCTATGGGCTTTTGTATTCGGGACCGTTTGGCCATTTCTTTTACAAATTGATGGATCTGATCATCAAAGGAAAGAAGGGCAACAAAACTGTTGCAAAGAAGGTAAATTTTTTTTTAAAAAATCACATAATGTGAGACAGATGTGATATAAAATATTTGCGAACAAAATGTTTAAATCTATAGTAGGGGAGATTTTGTTTTACATTTGTGCATTTAGTGTGCCGAACTTTCCATGTGTAGATTTTTTTGTATTTTTGTGGGGTTAGTTACACGGACACCCCTCAGCTATCACTTTCAAAATGGTATATTTAGACCGTTTTGTATTATAGTCAAGCAATTTAAATGTACAATTTTGAAGGTGAGGGTGGTAAAATGATACTTCAGTGATTTTTTAGGGGGTGCTTGTGTAATTAACCATTTTTTAGTATTAGATACTTCACATGCCAATTTAGGTGCTTTTGGCTTTTCTAAACATGTGGTCATTACACAACACTTTTTTTTCCTTTTATAGGTTTTGTTGGAGCAATTGACTTCTTCTCCTTGGAACAATATGCTTTTCATGATGTACTATGGCGTGGTAGTTGAAGGTATGTGATTAATTTAACAATTGCTTGGCACGGTAAATTGGTAAGTGGCAGTCTTTTTTTTATTTTTATGTTCAATATCTTTAATTTAGTTAGATTAATGTTATGATTGGTTATTTGAAACATTGGTTTGTCTAGGAATTGAACTTTCTTTCAGTAGAGACGTAGAAGTTGCCACTTCTCATCCAAGATTATAATAAACTTGTTATCCAAGATTATGTAATTTGTGCTTTGATGATGCATATTATTGCTCCACTACATGTAATAAATAATTTTTGGTTTTGGACATTGAGTAGTGTGTTACCAGATTATCTACTCTCTTGCTGTCATTCTTTTCTTTCTTTGTGTTTTGTCGCTTTATGTTTAGTCTTCTAATTATCTCAATGAGTTTTAATATTTCATTGCTCTATTCCTGTTTGCATCTGCCTGCTATTCCCATCTCAAGCTAAAGGCAAGGACACAGATAACATATTAATGAATGAAAACAAACATGCAAAGCATGCCAAGAAACTTCATATTCAAGATATATTTCTTATTCATAGGTTTAGGCAAAGCATTTGGTCTTTACTAGACTCAAAGATCAACTCTAGTTCTTGAATTTTGTTGATGGTTTCTGACTCAGTCATCATTTATCTGGTTATGGCAATCTTTGCTTTTGTTTCTCCTTGGCAACAAAATCTCATTTATCTGAATTATTGTGTGTGTTTCTGTTAGGTATTGCTCTTTAAAAGAGGCAGCCTAAGCAGCTTATGCACAAGTTTGTGCACCATTACCATACATGGGCAGTCAGGACAGCAGTTTATGCTGGAATGTGTGCTCTCCCACCGAGGGAACAACTGCTGCTGAAGCTAAATGAAAATGGTGAGTTTGTGATCCCTTTATAGGCGGAAGTGATATGGTTGTGTGTCATAATTTGACCTGGACCATTGTTAAAGTTTTGAATTAAGTTCCACAAATTAGGCCCTTTACTAGTACCGGAGCCGAAGTAAATGAGCACACCAAAACATGTTGACAGTATTAAGAATCATTGATAGTGTGCCACAGTAAATAATATGAATACTGTGTGTGGAAATTATTGACTAATGGGTCTATAGTTATTACTTTTAAATACTTAAGGAAGTTAAGATGGATGAAAACACTTATCAGATTGTGTTTGTTGAAGTGTCGTATAAACAACATCACTAATATCAGATTTTCCTTTTGCCTTCCCCATACATTTCCAAGCACCAAATGGGGCCTTCGAGAAAAATGAAAAGATGCTATCTAGAAGTTTATACCAGCATGTAGTAAAGGGCCCGATTTCTATCGGGACTCGGATTGGGTTTTCGGTTTGAGAGTTAGGGTCGGATTTCTATCTAGTCAAAATTATTTACTGAACTATCTTTGTAATTATACAGTAGTCAATTTTTTATATTTTTCTGTAATTAAAATATTAACACCATTATACTGTCATTAATTATTTTTATTTTGTTATTTTCAGATATTTCTTGAGTAATAGTTTGCTTCTTGTGGAATGCGGGCAGGTAAAGATTATGACCAACTTTTGTTTTTGTAACCCATGGAAGAATGAAGACGAAAACTTTTGATTTTGATACGTTATTTAGATTTGTGAACAACATTATGTATGTATTATGCGACATTATGTAATGGGATAATTTTTATTGTTATGAATTTTTATTTATGTATTATTATGAATGGAACAACATTATGAATTTTCATTATGTGCCAACTTTTGTTTATGTATGTATTTATATTATTATGTAATTATCGGTTTTTTTTTAGTTATTTTTCATTTAATATATGTTATTTTCATATTTTTAATAACTTCAATACAATTTTTTTTTTTTTTTTTCTTGAGACGGCAGCACACACCGTCTCAAAAAAAAATTGAACTAGGTTTTTAGCGACGGCATCTTTACTGTCGCAAAAGATAGGGAATTGGTTGAAATGTAAGGTCTTTAGTGACGGTGTTATTGCCGTCGCCAATAGTCCTTTAGTGACGGCTCAGGTGCTGTCTCAAATAAACCTTTAGCGACAGTATTTTTTGCCGTCGCAAAAGACCTTTTTAGCGACGGCAAAACAATGCCGTCTCAAAAAAATTCAGATTTTCACGTGTTATTTGTGACAGAATTTTTCTGTCGCAAAAAAGGCATTTTGCCGTTGCAAAAAAAAAGGTGATGGCGTTATGCCATCGCTAAACCCTTTTACAACCCCTTTTGTTGCGACCCCCCACTTGCCGTCGCAAAAAGCCACTTACCGTCGCAAAAAACTTTTTGAGACGGCATTTGGGGTATTTGTGACGGTGTTTTACCGTTGCAAAAAAGCAATTTTTTTGTAGTGAGGATTGAGAAGAGAAATGGAAAATGAAAAAAGAAATGCGATCCCACTTTTTGTTTGGTTATAATGGAAATCACACCGGGGAAAGAAAGTGAGGGGAAAATGCAATCCCACTTTTTATTTTTTGGGTTCACTTAGGCTCTTTTCTTTCTCCATTTCCCAATTCAACCAAACATAGTTTGGAGTTTGAATCCTACCAATTCTTTCTCCTTTTCTTTCTATTTCCCTTTCCCTTTCCAATTCCATCATCAAATCCTCCAACCAAACACAGCCTAAAAGAATTTTATGGGAAAATCTCAAAGTAAAAAAAAATATTTTTTTGGGGTGCAAGTCTCTCTTGTATTTTGTGCAAGTCTTTTCCTGCATTTAGTTTAAGTCCTTATTGTGATCAGACTCGCACTAAAAAGGTTTTCATGTGTAGTGTAAACATTTTTAGATTGTTCTAATAATATGCAATTTGCCCAAAGTTTATTTTACATCTTCCTGTGAACCACCTTTTATAGCCCATACCCTTCAAATTACTTTTCATTTGCCATAAAGCCAATTGAACCCAAATGTTCCTCTAGATTCAATCCACACACAACAATAAAGACAATACTAAAACCAGAAATTTACTGTCCACAACTTTGTTTTCACATTTAAGGACAAAGGGTGATCTTTTTTTCACTTCCCCAATCAACCTGTCCCACTCCATATGCTGTGTCATAATGGTTGTGAGAAGAAAAGATAGATGATGGGTAAAGAAGAGGGCTCTCTTGCTAGAGACATTGGTGGACAATATAGCACCACAAAACATGGATGTGAGAAAACAAGATGTACATTAAAATACATGTGAATAATCGAACTCAATCCGCATTACCTCATAATGGCTTGTCTTAAATTGAGTTGTGGATACACATAATTGCAAATAATCAAGACTCCAGCTTAGGGAATCTTGTCTCATTATCAACAAACTTGCAAAGTATTATGTTTCACATGGAGCCCAAAAACCATATGAGCAAGTCTAGATGCAATCATCAAAAGGAAAAGCACCAAGAGAGCAAGAATGATGCAAAAGGGCCTCCCTTGTCTAGTATAAACAGATAATAAGCCAAGGGATGGAATAAAAATGGGAACAACCAAAGTCCCTACAAAATGATAGACAAAGCATGCTCAAGCCCTTTTCAAAGGAGAAAATTCACTCCCCAAACAAGCACTACATCATCATAAGAGCAAAGAGGGACTAAACTAATTTGAATGAAAGATAAACAGAAAGGTGAAATAATTGCAGAGTTAATTACATCAAGACCCTCATTCTGGAGGGAGAAAGTGATACATTTTTAAAGTTGAGAGGCCAAACTGTACGAGTTCATAGATGAGGGGCATAAGATAATATTCGGTAATAGTTGAGGGGTCTTGGTGCTGGGATATGGGATCTCGCCCAAGGCCTTCCAGAAATTATGCAAAACAGAAAAACAACCACACACATGAATGAGACAATATTTAATGTGGTTCGGCTTCAATGCTTACATTCACGAGAGAGGAACTGTATTCACTATATAATAGAGATTACAAAGAGATTTAAATGGAGGAGAAGATCTCTCTCATTCAACTCCCACTGAGCTCCCCCTCTCTCACAGAGGGAGCTCTCCTCTCTCAAACAGAAGGACTCTCTATCTCACTCTCACATCTTCCTTCCCTTGGTTGCTCACACTTAGCTCACTCCTCACCCTCTCTATTTATACACCAAGGAGGGAAGGAGGTTGGCAGACACATTCTGTACCAAATCCAGCGCCTCTGACAGCCACCCGCGTGCGCCATACTCCGCCGAATTCGGTGCCATCTTCCTTGACTCCATTTAGCTGCCTTCACATGGAGAAAGGAATCACCCTCACATGGGATGATATCCAACACTCGGAGTAATTAACTCATAAGTTCAGAACACATATAGTCACTGAAATTACAAGAACTATGAGTATTACTATTTGTACTAGTTCGTTTTATAATTATGTAGCTATAGCAATACTGCGAAACAGTAATACTTTGCACCCAGAAAAGTGTCCAAAAGACATTTAATTTTCTCGGAACTTTTTGTAGGTATTTTTCTGATTGTGAAATATTCACTGTGAATCTTATCTGCTCTTACCCTCAGTAACACAAAAGACATGAGCATCCTTTATGGAGAGAGACAAACAACCGCAAACAAAAAGTAGGACATGAGCAGATGGCCTCTTGCCACCCTCACATCCCATCTCACTGACCTTATAATATAAAAGGCCAAAACACAGTTGGGTTTTACTGTAAATTTCACAGGGAAAGGCTGCCCTTTGTTGATGACAAGACAGAGAATTAAAGGTGCTCTCATAATAATGGAGAAGTGCAGTGGCCTTTCCTCTAACCATTTGAGATCGAGGGTCTTATATTCTTTCCTGTTTGCATGGTGGGCCTCATATGTATTCCAATTCAAAAGCTGCTTTATATTTATGAGGGAAACAGACAAAATAAATGAGAAGATATTATCAGATGTGAGGTCTGATGAACAGCTGAGCAGCTCTGGTTGATTCATTATTTAAGAACTTGGTTTGTATAGTTGGTGAGACAGATTAACCTGTGCTTTGCACAAACACTTTGTCTCATGATATATTGAAGGCCAGAGACTTGAAGGTGCAAGGATTGCCAAGTGGGTTTTGATTCTATGCGCAATTAAGAGATGGGTTTCTTTGTTCTTTTCATGGAAGGATCATATAGAGCAAGAGATATCATTGGGTTTTCAGGGTGAAGAGAAGAGGATTGTCAGTTGTCTACAAACAGAAACTGAGGTCCTGCTCCTACTCGAGGTTTCTACCTTTTGTTTGGGTTTATTTACTGTTTTTTTAGTTTGTTTCTCTAGTACCAGTAATGGAGTCTGCCCTTGGAGGTTCAGAAGAATGTGGCAGCAGTGAGTCTGGTTGGACTATGTATATTGCCTCCCCAATTCATGGAGATAGCAATTATGAGTATGATGATTATGATGATCTTGGCACTGATAAAAAAGGAGATGACAACAATGATGGTGATGATGATGATGATGATGATGATGATGATGATGATGATGATGAAAGTGATGATTCTATGGCTTCAGACGCCTCTTCTGGACCAAGCCATCCAGAACTTCCATATGGAAGTACAAAGGGAAGTCGCGTATTGGGTCATTTCAAGCTTGAAGATCAGAGTAAGGGTTCCACGGGCAAGAAACCTTACAAAAAGGGGAAGAAAACATTTGAAAAGAGGACGACAAAAGCAGAGAAGGATGTTCCCGGCAATAATGCAAAGGTAAGAAGAACCAACAAGACGGAGAAAAAATAGAAAATTTCAAATTTTGTTAAAGATATGCTCCTAGATTGGTTTCATAGTGTTCTTCATCGCATGATCTTTGACAGGTTTCAGAAAGAAGAGCACAATCCATGCCTAAAAGTTTAGTTGGAAGGTTGAATCAAGAAATGTGATTGACAGTTAGATAGCTAGCACATGCATATGTGGGATGTACAACTGTGTTTTCATGTATTTTTATGTAACACATGCATAGTTTACGTATTCTATTGTGTAGACGCCTGTAAATGTATGTGTACAGTGTGGCAACATTTATCACATAACTTGCTTCTTATTGGTATTATTATAACTTAAAAGATAGAGAATAGAGTATAGAGGTAAAGGGCAGTATAGTGATTCTGATTTTAGTTGTGGTTTTTATGATTATCTCAGTTCTACCAAAAAGAAAGAGACCTTGGGGGACAATTAAAAACCTTTTTCATTCACAGAATCAGAGATCACAACAGAGGATACTGATAAATATACTACAACAAAATAATTTAATGAAAACAAAAAATAATAGAGACATAATCTACTCTTTAAATACTCAAAACCGATGTTCAAAAGGTGATCAAATGACTCAATTGAGAGTCTGCAATCTTGACAGATGAAATCTGTCTTAATTGAAATTTGTTTACTGGCAGAGCTCATTATCAACTATAAGGGGACTAGCTGCATGAATTATGCTTTGCCAATCCACTCGATCTAGAGCAGTGTCTTCCTATATCTCCTTCACCTCACCCATCCAACTGCCTATTTTGTCAGAGTTATGCACAGTTGTTCTACATTCTTTCATTCTATCTAACAATTTTAATCGCTCAGTCAGGTGTTTTATTATGTTTTACCTGTGCTGCTAAAATAGCCAATGTACTGGTAGCCCCCAAATAGATGTGCCAAAATACATAGACTTTGAAGAGGAAATTTTCTCACTGATTGGTGCAGTTCTCAAGGCCAGCCATTAGCATTTTGATTGACATCGGCAAGTACCAGTCAAGGAAAAATAGCAAGAGAAAAAGAAATAGAATAGAAGACTCAAAATATATATGTATATATGTAAAACTATTGCATTCATACAATCTAAGAAAATAACTGGAATGGAGTGCACAAACACCTAATCCCATAAAATTGTAATTTTTACTCGACTTTGTGGGTAACAATTCACCCTCAGAAAAGGAAACCCAACCTGAAGGCATAAATAATTCACTCATCTGTTAGGACCCAACCAATAAGAAACACAACATGAGAAAGCCTTTCCTATTGTTCAGCATGACTATGTGCCACTGCAGCACATTGCTTTCTTTTATGAAAAACACTTTAAAAATTTATTTCGTATTTCGCTTGGACTCATTGATGTTAAGATCATACCGCTTCTGGGTGATATCCTAGCGATAATGTGACTCAGGAGGAATCTATGATGACTGAAGCTGTCACCACCCAACCCGGTGTTTAGCGCTGATTCGCAAAATACGAATTGATCTCTGTGATTTGAAAAATTATAAATATTTCATTGTTAGAATTTTTTATTTAACAGAATTAATTGAAAAAATGAAATTTCTAACTGTTCACTTATATGATAATAAAATTATCTGAATTATTAATTGAAATAAAATTTTAACATTATTAAAAACTGTTAATTAACTTGATAATTTATTAATAAAATGACCTATTTGTTATGAAATTAGAAAACTTAGGGGGCATAATGTAATTTCTAAAACCACTGGGGGTAATTTATAATTTAAGTAAATCTCAGAGGGTGTGTTTGTAACCCTTTTAATAATTTAAGTGGTGCAGGTAGAGACAAGATAAAGTAGTAAAGAAATTAAATAGGTAAATAAATAATCGAAATACTCAATAATTTTTATTAAAGAAAACATTCCTCAGGTCTTTTATTTATTTTATTGATGATCAGACAATTATTACAAAAATACAACATGTCCGCATTAAGTCTGTGCTAGTCTCACTACACGAGGTTACCACTTTTCCTTACATCTCATCAGCTGAAAGGGAACAACAACTATAAGCGTATAGCAGAATGAGAATTATATTAAGAGTATATGGTACAAAATTATCATAGATAATTATTTAGGCTAAAACATTATACATTATTTAATTGGAGTTAATTAATAATTTAAATAACAAAAATAAATTTCAAAATATAAATAGAATAGTCATAACCACGGTATAGAAGGAAAATCAGAATAGAGGTCATCGAAGTAAAAATCAGAACAGAGGTAAATTGATTCATAACAAACAGAAGGCCACAAAGTGACCAATTAAAAGTCAATATTAAAAGTCAATGGTTATTTAAGTTCCCTAAGGCATGAAACTCTCGTAGTGGTTCTCACAAAAATAAATGTTTATATACTCATTGTCCAATAATTTCTAAAATTCAAACAATCATATCTATGGATTTTAATTTAAGTAAATATGGTTCATAAAATAATTAACATAATTAAAACATTAATATAATTTATAAAACAAGAATTGCATATATAATTTATGATAACTCCAAATATACGTAAAATATTTTATATATGTAAAATATTTTATAATAATTTAAGATATAATATTACTCACCTTAATATTAATCCCTAATTTTACTCTCGTTTACTGCACCCAACCTTTCTTATTTTTCGTTGTTTTCAACTTGCCAGCCCTTGCTCCCTATTTATATTGAGGCAAGCTGTGATATCTATACATGAGGATGTCAGATCATGACACGTTGCTCTGGGCACATCCTTATCCATTAGGCCAAGTCTTTATCCATAAGATTAAACACTTATCTCCAATATTTACTTAGTTTTAGGTTTCATTTCACTTTGGCCCAATTTTAGGTTTAATTTCATTTTGGTTCAATTCTTAAAATAATTATATACCATCTTTTTGATAGGATATAATGACTCTCTAATTAAATTACATTTTAGCACATATAACTATTAAATTAAATATGTAATGCCCCAACTTCTGGGCTATTAATAAATCAAATCAAGCTCAAATTTATAATTGCAGATAACTCATAATCTCAAATATACAAATCGTCTCCATAAATAATTAACACAAATATCTCCAAAATATAAATTATACAAATCTCTAAAAATAATATATAGTTGTGGGCCCAAAAATCTGCAACTCAAATAATCTCTTTAGAACTTCGAATCCGATCTCTACTAAATTCCTCCGCATCTGAAAAATAAATTAATTCGGAAAGTATACAATACAATAGGAATAACAAGGCTCGGACAGAGAATAAATCAACACGGATCCAACAATTACACAACGAATTAGATTCAATAATCAAGCATGCATAAACAAGTCAACTCGACATATGATAATCACCCATGACCAAATATCAGGTCCTACTCGATATATGACCAGTGACCGCCCTCATCGGCCTCACCCACCTCACCCAAGCACAACTGCTTGTCCGGGCTATTGGTCCAAGCTATTGGCAAGGTCCACTCAATCCATGTACGGAGCATTTTCGCATCATTTAGCCATACAAATCAACACTAACTCTACAGAACAACTTCACAAAATTTATCAAATGATCACGATGATCAAGAGGATAACAAATTTAAAGTAATTAAAATAAACTCTTTGCAAAGAGATTTAAAGGAATCATATTGTATACGACCAGAATTACTTCAAAACAATCTCTTTCGTCGCCAACACTCGAATCTCGATATTTTTTTCATGGATCTCCAAAGTCTAAGCTATAAGATATGTAAGGTTTCACAAAATCTACAACTCTTCTATATGAAAATACTTACTCTCACTCTAAACACTCTCGATCCAAACTCAATATTTCTATAATTTAAGAGAGAACAATATGTGAGTGAGAGAGAGAGAGAGAGAACCAAAGGCATAAGATGATGGAAAAAATGGTTTCAAATTATAACTTAAATAATGGGAGGCTACTTAGCCTCCAAGAAAACTTGGAGCCAAAGAAATGGGAAAAAAATATTAAATGAAAGAAAAAAGAAAGTACAAAGAAATGATGGAAAATAAAATAAGAAAAGATTATTTACTTGGAGGGAAAGAAAAGAGAATTTGCTTGAAGCGAAAGAAAATAAACATGGCATGGCACCCATGTGGATTTTGTTTGGAACTCATGCAAAATAAAATAAAATAGAAAATGTACGAGATGAATAAAATACTGATAACAATGAGGTGGAGCTAAAAAGAGACAAAACAAATAGAGAAAATAAGTTAGGTTCTCCTCTAAAAATCTCACCACCAAACTACCATCAATACCTCTCACTAAAATATTAATACATCAAAAATTTGGGGTTTCACAAAATATTATATATATGTTTTGTTGATATTAACGCGGTGTTAAAATTAATTAATCATTTGGGGTGTCACATTTCTCTCCTCATAAATAGAAGTTTGTCCCTAAATTTGCCGTACCTTGGTTTTAAAAAAGATGTGGGTATTTGGCCCGCATTTGATTTTTAGTTTCCCATGTTGCTTCTTTAACCCATTGATTTCTCATAAGACTTTTACAAGAGGTATAAACTTGTTTCAGAGAATTTGATCACGACGGTCAAGAATCTGCACTAGTTGTTCTTCATAGGAGAGATCTTCTCGAACTTTCAGGTTCTTATAATCGACAACATGCTCTAAATCTCGAAAATATCATTGTCACAACTCAAATAGCCTCTATAGGTTTAGTATCACAACCGACCAGTAATCCTAGGATTACCGAAGGCCTCTGAAACAAATTACCCAAAATAAAGGGCTAGCAGAAGCAAATATACAAAATACAATATTCATAGAGCTATGCAGACATATGTGGAACAAAAAATTTCAACTTATATACATATATGATGTCATCACCACATCTGCCTCACATCTTCTTAAATACAGATAACCCAAAATGGGACTTAGCCCAATATATAGAGTACACAAAAACTTGTTCAGACATAAACAAAAGAAAATAAAAATCTTAAAACTTAATTCACAGATTCGACCGCTGGAAGTATTTCGAGAACCTCCTCGGGAGGTATATAGGTTGGTCGACACAAAACAGATCCAAGCAGCAACTTAGGCCTGATTACGCGCCTTATCACCTATATACATAAATAATACAGTGAGCTGGAGCCGAGTGAATAACAACAGAGTAAAGGTTTTATGAATGATGTCTATAACAAATTTAGAAATCAGAGTTCAGTTCAGAAATAGATTTATATTCATATCAAATTCTCGCAGATAATCATATGTAGTACATCCAATAGTGCTAACAGATGACTCATGATTACATGAGATGGTACAGATGACCCACAAAGGGACTAGATGACCCATAACGGGATGTATACAAAGCAGATAAATAGTTATGCATAACCAACCCTAGTACCAGGCCATAGAACAGATATCATATGATGCTAAGGATACCACGAATTCATTTTAGAAAGTTGGACAATCATTTATTTAATCATAAAATAGCATTTCAGAAAACAAATCATAACGTATCATTCGGAAAATACTTAAAGTTGAACATAGTTTTACAGAGTTATTACTCATAGATGGCTCTAATAACAGAACAGATATAGCAGATAAATCAGACGAACTATGGCGCGTGACGTAGGCTCTCAATTCTCTTGAATCTTAGCAATTCCTTGTATGATTCTTCCAATTCTTTCAATTTTCCAAGAAATTCTTCATTTTCAAGCTTTGATCTCAATGTTCTCTCTTCTCTCCATCTCTCTACATTTTTGTTTGAAGGACATGATGAAAATGAAGTGCATATGAGGCTTCTAGAATCAATTAGCCTTATATAGACTCAATTAGTGAAGAGAAATTAATCCTTGATTAAGCTAATCAATTGGCATTATTTTATTCTACTTATTTGATTCCGAATAGAATTTTAATTAAATCTACCATGAAATTCTAAAAATCCAAAATAACACATAAGCTTAAACAATTTCATATTCAGATGCCAATAAGGCCTTCAATTAATAAAACAAAGCAGAATTACCGACAGATATTCTTACGACCGACATATATATACACAAATAACACATAACACATGTAATTAATGTAGGATTTCATCTTAAGCACTTATTAAGCATTCTTAATCATGGCTTATTAGCTAATCACATATTGAGGTTGTTACAATCGTCGAAGCATCAGAACGTGGAACACATTGTGGACATTAGACAGTTCAAGTGGTAATGCAAGGTGATATGCCACAGGACTAATCCTTTCTAATATCTCGAATGGCCCAATGTAACATGGGTTTAACTTTCCTCGATTTCCAAATCGGATAACCCCTCTTGTTGGTAAGATCTTTAGGAAAACATGATCTACTATTTGAAATTCCAAGTCCTGTCTCCGTGTGTCTACATAGTTTTTTTGGTAGCTTTGGGCAGTGTGAATTCACTATTAGATGAGTTGAATTTTATCACTAGTTATTTCCACGATTTCAAGGCCCAATAACTTTCTGTCTCCGATTTTCGTCCAATGTAGAGGTGATCGACACTTCCCTCCATACAATGCTTCGTAAGATGCCATTCCAATGCTTGCTTGGTAACTATTGTTATAAACAAATTTCACTAAAGGTAAGTGCTTATCCCAGTTAGAAATGGCAATTTGAACCAGACCC